ATGTGCATATTCTCTCTCTGAATCTCACTTTCTCTGGCTCAGTCTCACTGCTCTCTTTCCCACACACAAATCCTGGCTACTCCAGGGCTCACCCTGAAACCTATGCTGACAAACTACCTGACCTGGCAAATTCAGAGAGCCCATTTTTCCTTTTCAGGAATCTTTGGGGATTGGATATGAACTTTGCTGATAGCACTTAATACCCTTTCTTACTGGTCTACTCTCCTTCATCCGCTATTCCTTGAATATAAATTCCCAGAACGCAGGAATTAATCCTACAATCTGAGTTGATGGAAAGTCTCTAAGAGCAAAGGCTCTGTCTACATCTCCAGCCTTGTCTTCGACCACTTCAGAGCCCGACAGAGACACTTATTCTCACGCTTGCCCCTACTCGTTAGTACATGCTTTACCACTTAGTTCCCTCCTGCCTGGTAAAACCAGACCCACTGCTTCTCATGGGACACCGTCTCTGACCGCTTCTCTGCTCTCTCTTCAAGTACCTTCATTTTCTCGAGTTTGTTGCGGGAAAGCAAGACCTGAGTCTAATTAGCATCCTATCCCCCGGCATCTCGGACATGCCGGGCACAATGTGCTACATTAAAACTCCATGAACCGACGTATGCAAGGTGCATCCTTCCACCTCCCCCAGTGCTTTTGCAAAGTACACTTCTCTGTCATTCACCTGATCACCACGGGGAAAAGCCCTGAAAACCACTTGATCTTGCAAGTGGCACAGAGAACACACCCAGTCACACAGCTCTGTGAAACCCCATCTTGAAGACCGACTCCGTACCTCATCACACAGTCCATAAAAACCACATCAGTTGTCTGCAGTACGAATGGGAACTCTCGGCCTTCACTAAGTGATTTCTGACATCTCAGAACACAAATTCAGCCATCAGCCAAAGAAAACAAATAGCTTTAAAAAGCAGCTGCCTCCCATTCCTCAGCTTTTATCAGTCTTTTTTAAACCCAATGTTTAGAAAGCATTCACTCTAACAAAATAAATGAAGCTTCATCGTACTACGCATTTATCTCGTTTTATCATAAACCATTCAGCATTATCTCTACAGAGTGGTATTTTGATAAATGTGGAGAATACAGTTCCTTGTATATATACCAGTCAAAGATTCAAAAGGGAACGTGCTTACCAGCTACACAATTGTCTGTTGTAGGACCCAAGTAACCACAAGTTTAATCAAGTACTTCCCCACCCCTCCTCCCAAATCCCAAATGTGGAGTACAGCACATTTCCATAATACAGGAGGGCTTTATAAGTTAATTATATCCAAAAAATTGGAGGACAAAAACCAACTAATTATTTTCCCTTTTTAACTAATAAAAGCTATGATTTTATGGAAAAGCAATGAAAACACTAGATAAGTATCTCTGCTGTGGATTAGCAGAAACGCATAAGGATATTCCACTTTCTATGCCAACATTAATTAGTGCCCCGCTCCAATGTCTCCTCGCCTTTGTTTTAATTTAAATGTAAATCAAGTGAATGTTATATTTTAGATCCTCTCCACATTCTTATTGACAAATAAGATAAGAGGAACTTACCAGCAGAGACTAGGTCTTTCCACAAGCCAACTAGCAGCATGATACTGCATAATTATTATGGGATAAAGATTATTATGGGATAACACTAAAAAGCCCTAATGGAAACATTCGGATAAGGAATAGAAGATCAAAGGGGATATGAAAACAGACATACATCCTAACTAGAGTCTAAACGACAACTTTCCACATCTCCTCTGACTTTGATCCAATAAACATTTATTGAACACCGACTGTTTGCCAGGCTCTGCTAGGTTCAGGGGATACAAATATTAAGATAGAATCACAAGCCTATCCTTCAGAGTTTGGGTATTCTCTGGCTACAAATGTAGTACTCATAAGTTACATAGGTACATAAAGCTGATCCTGCACCGTCCGACAGAGAAGCTTTTAGTCTTAAGTTCCCATTTATATTTAAATTCATACCCGGCACATCTCGAATGCTCACTAGTCACATGTGGTTAGTGGTTACCAATTATACTGGGCACATGGGCATCAACACATAGAGCTAAGGATATACAGAAAGAATATGTACATCATCACAGAACCTTCCACTGCACAGACTCGGCTCAGACACTAAATCATTGATCTCTATCACTTACTGATCCTATAACACTAAGGAAATCATTTAGTTAGCCTAGGAGTCTGTTATGACACAGACACAACTAAAATGTCCTTCAGTAAAGGAATGGCTAAACAAATTATAACCTATCCATACAATGGAATGTTATGGAGCAATTAAAAAAATAAACACAATAGGTCAGTATGTACTAGCACACAAAGATCTCCACAACTTAATATTGAGAGCTGGTTGGATTAAGAAATATACAATGTGATACCATTTAGGTAAAACACATTCATATTAAAATGTACCACATTTTCTAGAGACCTATCTTAAATACACAAATATACAAAAACAAATGGATTGACCAAACAGATACGCAGTTATTCTTACAGTGGTGCCCAAAGGGGATTTGGACCACATAATAAATGTATATAAAACAAGCTACTGGAGGACAAGGTATTAATATTTCCTTTACTAAGAGAAAGATAGTAAATTTAATTGCCACACCACCTATACTTTCCAGATGCTGATAAAAGTGCTCTGAGATAAATGTGTAAGGCTTTTTATATCTAAAGATTCTATGATGGATAGAGTAGAAAGTTTATAATTCCTAAGTTCTTAAGTTCTTGAAGGAGTTTAAAATCCACAGAGCAAGCAAACACAGTTGGTACCATGAATTTGAAAACAATCTGTGATTACTGAAAATGAATCAGTTCTCCCCTGTGCTCAAAGTCATTCATGCACTAGACAGTTGGGGTGGGGAGGGTGGGGAGAAATAAGAGACTCAGTTTCCATCCTTAAGCAACCTACAGACTAATGGGAAGGCACACATTCAGAAAGATCTTAAAACATAATGGCATACAGGTCATGAACTAGAAGTACAGGGAGATACAAGAGCATACAGCAGATATGGAAGGAAAATAGGAATCAAGTAGACAAAATATGTATTGTGGGGAAGACGGCAATGATTCAGGTAAAGGATATAGGTAGGAGTGTGGAGATCTAAAAGAACGTAAATGCCCCCACTTGGACGGGGGTAGTGTAGTTGAAAGAGGAGGGAGAGAGTTAAAACTATGCAAGGCTTCATAAGCCATGGTAAAGAACTTGGATTTTATTTTAAAGATGGTGGGAAGTCACTGAAGGGTGGTTTTAAATACGGCAATGATATGATGAGTTCTGCTTCTGTAGAAGGCTCAGGGGAGAGAATGGGAGACTGGAGTAGTAAGCTTGGCAGAATGTAATGTGAGCCCCTAGACTGCAGGTGATGGCAACACAGAGAATCTGAGACAGACCAAGGGGACAAAATAGGTGTGGTTTGGATTCAATTGACGGAGGAAATAAATATGCTCAGCTGTCCCAGCTGGAGAGATAGAACTTAGCAAATTTCTTTGCAATGTCTTTTTTTGGGACACCTGGATGGCTCAGTCAGTTAAGAGTCTGCCTTTGGCTCAGGTCATGATTCCCAGGGTCCTCAGATTGAGCCCCATTGGGCTCCCTGCTCAGCGGGGAGTCTGCTTCTCCCTTTGCTCCTCCCTCTGCTTGTGTGCACGCTCTCTCTCTCTCTCTGTGTCAAATAAATAAAATCTTTTTTAAAAAATGTCTTTTTTTTAAATGCTAAAAATCTCCATCTTTTTTTATAGATCCACAATCCTTTATCTGTGATCCCCAAATCCAAAAAGCTCTGAAAATGGACAGGACTTCTGTACGATGGCGGCAAAACCGGATTTAACATGAGCTTCTAATTCTTGCCCTATCCCATTCTGCAAGAATATTCTACATAGTTCATTGTAGAAATATTAGCATCTGTGACTATGGGGTACAACCAGAAAACACATTAGGTTTGTGAGGAAACAGTTGCTGTATGTACTATGCTACCTTTAAAAAATCTGAATTCAGCAATGCATTCGGCCCCTAGGGTTTCTGGGAGGAACTGTAGATGGTAAGTTGACCATATTCACTTTCCAGCTTTCACAGTGATACATACCACTAGTGATCATACAGACCATAAATTTGTGCCTGTGTTTGGTCAGGGAGGCGGGATATGGGTCAATTACTATTCTTGATTGTGTGATTCTGGAGTTAAGAATGCACAGGTTTATTCTAATAGCTGACCTTTAGACATGCATCAAATAAGACAGGAAGCATTCATGTTTAGGAAGTTTTCATGGCACTGTGGAGAAAGTGCTACAAGGCTTAACCTCATGTATCTCTGCCCCTGGGGACTGATAACTTGTTTCTAACAAGGTGTGTGCTACAAGACGCCAGAGGCATCAAAAGGAATCTATCCCAGCCCTCTACCTACAACCCATCAACATTCATTCATTTTTTTAAAAACCCATTGGCACAGTACTCTGCGAGGGGATTTGGAGACAACAAATAAATGACATGTGATCCCAAACTGTTCTCAGGGAAGTTGCTCCAAAGGAGATGTTTTATAAATGTTTGTTAAGATAGTAAACTAGAAATAAAGAGAATATCAGTCTGTAACATTAAAAATGAGGTGAGGAAAAATAAGCTGCTAATCGCTTTTGAGTTGAGAGCTTGAAATCAGGGAGAAAAGTGTATCTAGGGAAGCAAGTGCTTTGATGGATAAGATTTGGAAAGACAGCTGGGGAAGGAAAAAAAAAAAATCAAAGTATATCTTCCTGATTGTCTAGTAATAGAACTCTCCCATCAGGACCCCTTGAGAAATATCATTAATAACTTACCTTATGCACCAAGCAATGTGTGGAGTTACAATGATGTTCACTTTTGGAGCAACGCTAACTGGAAGCAGCCTAGTTTTCTTTGAGTTGAAAAGACAGTAAAGCAAGGAGGTTGTTGGTGGTTTTACATACTTTTGCAAGAGTAGAGAAACTGACCAGAAAGGTCTTACCTTCAACGCAAGAAGGCTGAGCCCGCGTTGTGCCAGCAACCTGCCCTGGGAAGCAGGAGCACTTGACTGTTTGTGATCGCTCTTCTATGCGGTTCTTGTTACAGCACCTGTGGACAGCGACCACCTCACAGGTCCCTTGCTTGATTTGGTGGTGACCTGATGGATAAAACAGACCCAGTGCTGTCAGGAAAAAAATGAAGCTACAAAGTATGTGAACGATACCATGACCACATTTTCCAGCTTCCTGCACCATGCTTAAGAATCTTTGTAACTTTTTGTTTGGATGTCATTTCAAATATTTATAAAGGTGTCAAGAATAGTGCGAAAAATTCCTATAAACCTGTGGTAGACAGAAATTCAGCCCCCAGAACCTTCAACCCCCGGTATCACACCCATTATGTTACTTACATGGCAAAAGAGATTTTGCAGATATAATTTAAATCACTAACTGGGGGATTCCTGGGTGGCTTAGTCAGGTAAGCGTCTGCCTTCAGCTCAGGTCATGATCCCAGGTACCTGGGATCCAGCCCGGCATCAGGCTCCATGCTCAGCGGAGAATCTGCTTCTCCCTTTCTCTCCCTGCTTGTGCTTGCACACTCTCTCTCTCTCTCTCAAATAAATAAAATCTTTAAAAAATAAAATAAAAATAATTAAATTACTAACTGGTTGATCTTAAGAGAAGGAACTTGAGCTAATGTGCTCACATGAGCTCTTAAAATCAGAGAGAGAGAGAGCAGAAGGGGAAGTCAGATTGAAAACGTGAGAAGGACTCAAAGCATCACTGCTGGCTTAAAGATCTGGGGGTCAAAAGGCAAGGAAATGGTGACTTCAGTCCTACACCCACAAGGAACTGAGCCAACAAACTGAATACATGTGGAAGCAGATTCTTCCCCAGAGCTTCCATAAAGGAATGCAGGCCTGCTGATACCTTGATTTTAACCCAGAGGTCAGACTCTGAGCAGAGAATCCAGCTACACTGTGCCAGACTTCTGACCTACAGAAACAAGCCACTAAATTTGTGGTGATTTGTCACAGCAGCAATAACTAAGACCTTTTATCCAGATTCACTGTTGTTAACACGTGACCCTCTTTGTCTTGTCATTCACTCTCTTTCACATATCTTTCTGAGCCATTTGAGAGTAACTTGCAAACATGATACCCCCTGACCCTTCAGTAACACTTCAGTGGTTATTTCCTAAAAATAAAAACAGTCTCTTACATAATTATCAAAATCAGGACATTTCACGCTGATACAATGCTATTTACATGATGCTATTACATGATCTACAGTTTTGTCAGTTGTCCTAATAATGTCTTTTCTAGCCTTTATTCCCCTTGTTCAGGATCCAACTCAGGGACCTATATTGTATTTAGTTGTCACATTTCTTTAGCCTTCTTTAGTCAGAAAGTATTTTTTAGCCTTGATCTTTCTTAACCTTGACATTTGTCAAGAATACATGCCAGTTATTTTGTAGAATGTCCCTCAGTGGGTCCAGTGGCCCTGGTCGAGTCTTCAAAGACTCCAACACCAGCCAACAGCTTAAAGTCAGTCTGATAACCCTGAAACAGGACCACCCAGCTAAGACACTCCCAGATTTCAGCTACTGACAGACTGTGTGAAGTTATATATGTTGACTGTTTTAAGCTTCTAAGAATTGGGCTAATTTGTTACACAGTGATAGATAACTAATTATCATCTCTGGCTATAGCAGGATTGGAGAGATTTACCTCTGCTCTGATAAAAACTATGTAAACAAGGCTGTGGAGGCAATATTTAGAAATTATTAGTAAAAGACAACTTTTTCAAGAACCCTCAAATTTCACATATACTATTTACAATAAATTGTTCTGTGAATTACAAGCAGTCTCATCTACTCATTAAGACAGGTTTCCCCAAAGATTCCCAGGGGCTAATGCTTTGCTTGGTTTCTGTTGGTGGGTGCAGGTACTTCAAATCACAAAACTAGCTTAAAAATCTGAATTATGGAATATTTTTAATTGATAAAACAAGCCCTTCCACAAAACAACCTCTATATTATTCTGAAAAATTTCTAGCCCTTTTTTCTATGTTAACTCTCGGTGGAAACAAAATTCAATCACTGGCAAGAACAAATACTAAGGCAAAATTTCATTTGTAAAACACATAAAAGCAGAACCACTACCCAGAGAATCAAACCACCATCCTGAAAGTTTTCCATCTACTACAGAAGAAAGCATAAAGTGATTAAAACTATAAACCCAATTAAATGTACACAACAAGAATGCTGATTTCCGAGGTACCTGGGTGGCTCAGTTGTTAAGTGTCTGCCTTCAGCTCAGGTCATGATCCCAGGGTCCTGAGATTGAGCCCCCCTTTGGGCTCCCTGCTCAGCAGGAAGCCTGCTTCTCCCTCTCCCACTCCCCCTGCTTGTGTTCCCTCTCTTGCTGTGTCTCTCTGTCAAATAAATAAAATCTTTAAAAAAAAGAATGCTGATTTCCCATAGGTAGTTGCATACAACTGTAAAAAATAAATAAAAATAAATGGTAATTACAATGTCGGGAAAGTAGGGTGGGCACTTAGTGCTGAGTAAGCAGAACAGCAAGGACTGGGAAGAGCTCAAGAGGAGACCCTGTCTCTGGTTTCCAACTGCAAGTAAGCACGTTCAGGTCAAACGTTCCCTGAATGACTAGCCATGTGGTAGGGGGGCCCAGGGTGAATTCATCCCCAGTCCTCCAACAGTGCCTTCCCCTGTTGGCCACTGTCACAGTTCGCTCAGCTGCCACAAGAAAGGACCACAGGCTGGGTGGCTTAAACAACAGATCAAGGTCCTGGCCAATTCAGGTGAGGGCATTCTTTGCAGCTTGCAAAAAGCAGAAGGGGGCAGGGACAGAGCGCTCTGCTGTCTCCTTTTTTTTTTTTCCATAAAAACACTGGCTATCACAGATTAGGGCCACACCCATACCCATATGACCTCATTTAACCTTAATTTCCTCCTCACAGTCTCTGTCTCCAAATATAGTCATACTTGGGGGTTAGTGCTTTAACTTAAGAATGGGGGGGGCAAATATTCAGTAGATATAACAGCCATCCTGAATTAGATTTTCAATATTTTTTTTTTTAAGATTTTATTTATTTGACAGAGAGAGACACAGTGGGAGAGGGAACACAAGCAGGAGGAGTGGGAGAGGGAGAAGCAGGCTCCCGGCCGAGCAGGGAGCCCGATGTGGGGCTCGATCCCAGGACCCTGGAATCATGACCCGAGCCAAAGGCAGACGCTTAATGACTGAGCCACCCAGGTGCCCCTGAATTAGATTTTCAAAGACGCTGGAGAGCCATGAAGGCAGAACTAAACCTCACTAAGAAAATAAAAGAAATGCATTTTAGTAACTTAGCATAGTTGAGAAGTGATTGGGATATTGATTAATATTATAGTTGGCTTAGAATTTTGCTATTTAGATAACCATCCACAAATGCAAACAGATTTTTTTTTCCCTACTCAAATTTCTCTTTAAATAATCAGCTTGTGTAGTCTAGAATTTTATTCACTTATATAACACGGACTATGGTACCTCATTGATTTTTAAGATACAATGTTTTTCTCATCTTTAAACATTTCAGTTCTCACAACTGATAGTATCTTATTGTAATTGGCAATGCTTTTCTTTCTTAGAAATACACAAAATCGGGGGGGGGGAGCAAGATGGAGGAGGAGTAGGAGACCTGGATTTCATCTGGTCTCAGGAATTCAGCTGGATAGGGATCAAACCATTCTGAACACCTACGAA